GGGGAGAGAAGAGAAGGGTCTCAGAGAAGGAAGTTTTAGCAACCTGAGTTACAAAAATCTTCCCCTAAATTATATTAGTGATAAATTATTCAACTCTTAAGACTGCTTGGGAAAAAATATGATAGAGGAATGATTGATGGGGCTGAGACTATATTTCTTAAGTGCAGATATAAATTTTTAAGGCAGAGGAAGTCATAGGACCCTGGATAGGATGCTAAAAAACACAAAAGGCCAAAGTTTGAGGATCATTAGTACTGGATAATAATACAGAAACATGTGGAACTAAAGATAATTCAACTAGACGAGATACAAAATATTTTCCTAAAAATTGGTTTCAGAATGCAGAACAGCTGGGTGTGATGGTACACAACTGTTAATCTCAGCACCATGGAGGACTGTTGCAAGTTCGACACCAGTTGGGGCTACAAAGAGAGCTTAAGCCCAGTCTGAAACGAATAGCGAGACCCTGTCTGAAAAACACATTAAAAATGCAGAACATATTTAAACACTAAAAGTACAAATTTGGTTCTCGAAGGGAGGGGATACATGGTCCAGATGCGATACACAGAGACATCTCTACAGTTTTCACTCAAGATATTGTATCTTGATCATATACACAAATTCTCCAATAAAAATGTAATTACTGCACATTGCAAACATTAACCAATAGTGAATAAATTTTGTTTCTATTTACAATTTAAAATACATTTCAATGATATTATTGTTAGAAAGGCTCATGTTTACATCAATTTTTTTTTTTTAATCACTGAAGCACAAGCTATATTTCCAGGAAAGAAAAAAGACTTATTTATACTACATCTTAATGCTACAGTTTTGAACTTATTCCTTAAATCGCCACTTATTTGTAAAGCACAATATAAGTTTGCATAGTCCTTTGCATAGAATCAAATAATGTCCTTGTGCGTCTATCATGTGAAACATTCACATGAACCCTGTGACCTCCCCACACAGGCCAAGGCACGGCAAGTCAAGTACATACATCATACCATCAAAATTCTAAAGCCCTACTGTCTTTTTTGGCTTTTCTCAATTCCAAATTAAAATATATTTTTTACATTGGCTTGCAGCTAAATTTTTGAATGACTCATCCTATAAAATATCTGAGTTTTAAGATGAATATTATCTTTTGTGTCTTCACACAACATCAAATTAGATTGGAATTAAGGGTGTAACAATGCAAGGCCATCCAGAAATAAAAAGAAAAAAATTAAAAATTAAAAAAAAAGTAAGCCCACAACTGGAAATACTAGAGAACAAGAAGGACTAAAAAGTTTTCCCTTCTCTGGGACTTTCTGTATATTATATTGTCATAGCTCAGCTCCTTACTCCCTAAGTCTCTTGCATAACAAAAGTTGTTTTATTAGGAAAGCCAAGTATGCAAAGGGATGAGAGACAATTTTGTACGTCAGTGTGAGAGAAACTGAAGTCGTCTTTCAGTCCGCTTCTGCCTCCTTCTATAGTAAAACATCTGACTGAGCTAAACCATTGCCAAGAACGTCTGTGCTTTGCTGAAACCTAGACGTGGCCACGGTCCATGCTGGGTCCAGTGAGATCTGAGGGGAATTATGTGCGTGCGTGTGCACAGCACAGCCCTGTCCTTCGTGCTGCTGGAGGGCCCCAGGAGACCATTCCGGCCATGGGGACCGTAGAACATCCTCACATGCTATACCAGTGGTGGATCTGGGCCATCATGGGATGGAGCAGGGCTCCCCCATCAATCTGGATCTTAAGATTGGGAGAAATAGAATAGAATTTAATGTTTAAAGCACCCTTTATTTTGGATTCTGACACAGTATCAAATGTATATACTCATTAATAAAGTTAATAAAGGAAGGAGGCATATTGATAATACATAAAGGATTCTTTGGTCATCTTTAGTCTTTTGGTAATGTTTCTATATAATTCCATTTTTTTACTCCACAGTGCTAAGTACAGGTGTCAAAAACAACAACAAAAAGCTAAGATCAATTTTGCCATTTGCCCAGGAGAGCTGCTTTTTAAAACAGATTTCCCAACTTACATCAGGGAAGAACTAGAGCAACAAAGGGTAGGAGAGGAAGAGTGCGAGTTTAGTTCCGAGACGGCCCAGGAGCTGACCTCTACCACATGCTGCGTGTCCCTGGCGGCAAGCGGGCACTCGAGGAACGGGAACACCCCTCTCCACAAAATATCTTAAAGTGATGATTTTGTTTGTGAGTCTTTGGAGTTTTTCTTACTTTTAAAAGAACAGCATGTATTGTAGTGATTGTCAAGCTGCGTGCATGCATGTGTGTGTATGCATGTGTGTGTGCGTGCGTGCGTGTGTGTGTGTGTGTGTGTGTGTGTGTGTGTGTAAGATCTGCAAATGATCTTTCAGTAGCCCAATGAAAGAGAACAAAGGTGATCTGGCTGCCAGCAATAATCTTAGCAACTTAGTAGCTAAATGGAGAGAGCCTTTTTTGTGCGCCTACTACTGCTAATGCATCTACAACACCCACTTCACTTGAGGGTCCAAAGCTACCTAATACAACTGTGGATGTTGTACTGTAACTAGATCTATGGTCTTATCTTTCGACAGTGTTTCACTCATAAAATTAAGTGTAAGGCACCCATAAAAATTCTCAGAATTCTGAGCATCTCATGTGGAATGATATTTTTTTAAACAAAAAGATACTTTAAAACCCTTTTGCATTTAAATGTTAAATCCAGTCAACAGTTTACACTTTTGGGGTTTTTTTTTTTGTTTCATGCCAGGGATCAAACACAGGACCTTGCACTTGCCAGGCAGGGACTTAGGCTGCTGAGCTATCTCCCTGGCCCTATTTGACAGTTTAAAGTTAAAAATTAGACCAATTTGACCATTATGTAGGGCTGGGGACACACCTTAGTGGTAAGGCACTTGCCTAGTATGTGCAAGGCCCGAGGTTCAATCCCAAGCACTGACCAATAAAAAAAAACAAAAAAAACCAAAACACCTTTTGTGTCATTTCTAACTAGATTTTGTGATTTACGACCGACTCTATAATAAAAGTGTCAATATTTAAGGCAAATTTATTGACAATCCCTCACCTGTCAAAGCTAAGCCTAGAACCATGAACCATGCTATCATTTTTTGATTAATGATGATCATAAAGCCACAGGGATTAACATCCTCCTCTCCTCTGGTATCCAGGTATGCTTTCTGGAGAGGGAGACAGCAGCAGAGGCAATTAAAGCCATCACAATATATCCCTTTTTTAGTAGCAAAAAAAGTTAATGGTTCTAGATAATGTGAAGTCACTACATGCACTTTCCCCCCTACATCTTTTGTTTTTGTGTTGTCCTTGCAGACTTTCAAGAAATTGTCCCTAGGTGTCATTGCCTCATGTAGAGCCAAGAGTTAGTCTCCTTGCAAAGAATGGCAGGAAACAGGGGAAAGGACTAGACTCTGACTTCTTCAACCCCCAGAACGTCGGAACAACACTGTGGGGCCGCTAAGTGCTGCAGTGAACCCATGTTAGTCAGTTCCCCGAGCAGCACTGAGAAGCCTCCGTGGTGGGTGCGAGGGCTTCTTGTGGGACTCCTTTCTGGAGGAGCAGGCCATGCCAATCTGCAAGGAAGTGGGCGCTGAGCTGGCACGTCCAGGCCTTGCGGCTAGCACCCTCCCAGGCTGTCAGAAACCCAGTTAGGGCTCTACTGATAAATACAAACTATACCCATATGATATGTGCTGGGGAAAAAAAACCCTAAAAATATGCTTTTTAAGAGCTTTTAATGCGAGAATGACTTGAATGGAGTATAATGAAAAAAAGACTGAGGATCCTGGGCAGCCAGGCAAGATGAAGATCATGGCTTTTGACCACAACTAGCGCATCTCAGCAAGTTAAAGAAAGGTGTTACTAACTAGTTCACCCCATTTATCATCTGACACTGGGATTCATAAAGACAAAAACTAGGAAATACTGGTCAGTTCATACATACAATCCTTAGAAAGAATATCAAAAGTGAGGATAAGAAGTATATACCATCTCTAGCGACCAATGACACAAAAGAATATTATAAAAATACAGATAAATGATGAAACCATGTCAGTCTATTAGAAGCAATTTTTTTTTTCTTTTGATTCTTAAGTCTTCCACGAGTATGTATCACGACCTTTGTGATATTCTCCTGCTGGTCTGTTGATTTAAGAGATTAAAAAACCACGTACCAGTAGTGTCTTGGGCTGTCACATCCACACCATGTGTAAACATGACCCGGAGGCATTCTGCGTGTCCCTTCGCAGCAGCAAGATGAAAACTAGAAAGAGAGGGAAGCATACCTTAGAGTTCATCTCCAACAAAGCCTGCTCTCTTTTCACTTTCCCTCCCCTGAGCTCCACAACCACCCACTGAATAGATATTACCAGCTTCATTAAAAAAAAATTGAAAAATTTCACTGTAGTTGTTGAGACAGGGTCTCATGCACTATGTTGCCCTGGATAGCCTTCAACACATAGGCTCACATGACCTTCCTGCTTCAGGCTCCTGAGTAACCTGGGATGATCCTGGGCTATCCCACTGCAGCCTCTAATTAGCATCTCTTACTAAATGATGAAACAGGCATCTGACCTTAGGTTTTTCAAACCAAAGATCAAGCTTAAAAAAACTTAATGGTTTTAGCCGCTGGTCCTCATCCTGGAGACTGCCAGGGAGACCTGGTAGGCCTAAGCCCTTCCCCTTACCCCCCCCCCCATAGCCTAAGCTCGACTGATTCCCTCATGCCCACCCTCACCTGGATGACTGCCAAAGGTATCTGATGAACCTTCACCCAATGCTCTCACCCTTGCTGGAGATCGGCTGAGCCCAGGGTCACCAAATACACCACCCCCCATCACTGCAGAGCCAGGGAGAACATTGGGAGCTTCAAAAATGACAAAAGGAAGGAACAAAAGGCAATCTCAGACCTTTAGCCTACTCAAAACAAGTCCAGGAGACAGGTCTCAGAGCTTGAAAGTCACAGACTTCAAATTTCTGAGATGACAGCAACTGAAAAAACAACTCCAACAGGCAATGGAAGAAATCAGATCAGAAATAATTTCTCGGGTTTAAAAAAGAACGCTAAGAGTGAGCCACATATTTGTCTCTTTATACAACAACAGGTTTTTTTTTGGTTTTATTTTGGGTTCTTTTGTGGAACTGGAGGTTGAGCTCAGGTCCTTGCACTTGCCAGGCAAGTGCTTATTCTGCTGAGCTATCTCCCTGGCCCCTACAACAACAGTGGAGCCTCAACTAGACTCAGCTTCTAAATGAACTTCTTCCTATTGTCTAGTGCTTTCATCAAAGCTGTTGTTTCTAATATACTTTACAAAAACAAACTTATCTAAATCACACAGTGGTCAAAGTTCTGGACAACATCAATGCCAAATCTCTGTTGGGGTACAAGCAAGTAATAGTTGGGTGTAGCATTTGTCAATGTAGGTCAAACACCTTACTATACTACTACTTTTAGACATAATGTCTTTTCATTACCATAAAATCCTTTGGGAGAAGTTGCACGACAGACTCTCATTTTGTAGCTCAGGCTGGCCTCAGACTCTTTGTGTAGCGTGGATGGCCTTGGACCTATGATCCTCCAGCCACAGCCTCCTGAGTGCTGGGATTACCATCACAGCCTTATACATTGACTTTTAAATCTCCCTAGAGCGTCTACACTCAGGTATAAACATAATCAGAGGAAGCTCACAATTAGGATACAGAACTCAGTGACACTTGGTAGTATAAAGCATGCTCAGCATCTGCAGACGGGCAGCTAATAAAAGAGGTAATGCCCCGCCCCATGACACACCAATCATCCCAGCAAATTTCAGGGTAAAGAGCATTTTGCAGGCAGAAAGAAGCAAAGCACAATTCTACCAGGCAGTGAAGCTCAAAGCTGGAGATGGCCACAAACACTGGGTCACTGGCTGCTGTAGAGGCCTTTCTTCCTTTTGGTCTACTTCCTGTACAAAGAAGTTAACATGCTTTCCAATTCTGCTGTTAACAGTTCTATTCTGAGGACTTCCTTGGGATATGTTCTATGCGATACTGCAGTGTCTACATCTCTGGAATGATGTCCACGCAATGTTTTCTGGCAGAAGAGGAACTGCCACTCTAGTCACACTCAAGGGGCAAACCTAAGAGCTAATATTCAAACCAAGTTGGTCCCACGCCAGATCTTGTATTTCATTGCTAGGATGAGGGAAGAGATTTTCAAATGTGGATATTTCATGTCTTGTTTCAAGTCAGTTATAACACCCACATGTGTGTTAGGGAATCCATCTAAGCTCTCTGTGCCTAATTTCCTCCACTGGAAAGTGGTAGGACTGCAGTCAAAGTATTTCTAATATTTTTTCACTGCTCTGACTTTTTATTTTATCAGCCCACCTGCTTTCAACTCTACTGTGTCTATACTGGTGAATCAGTCTATGTATAATGTCTCTTTACACTAAAATCCAGGATGATTTTAGGATGATTTCACATTTTACCAAAACTTTGCTTAAATGGAATAATTGGGAATACGGTGACTTGTTTAGACAAAATTCCTGATTAAATAGAGCTTAACCAAAAGAACCCCCCAAGGTAATAAAATAATACATTTGCTCTTTAGCATTATGGAGGTGGGTTTAATTTTATAAGTTCACCTTCAAATGGTAAATCCTTTATTTTAACTAATCTTGGTAGGTTTCCAAAATCTCCCCAGCCTTAGGAACTGCGTCTGTGACATAACTAATTGGCCTCAGGACACAGCGTCACCATGCACAGTCTCAGTTATTCAACTCTCTACTTTTAGGGACACTGGAAACTATGCTGGTTGATTAGTATTAATTGGTATTAGCACAAACTGATTAGCGTTAATCTTCTTTTTTAAGTCTATGTATTTGTTTCTAAGCTGTTTACTTTGCTATCTCCTATGACCAGGCAAAGACTAAATCAAGTCTGTAGGCAAGAGACTCTAAAGATAGGCATCCAAGAACAGTGATTAGTACGCACGCATGGACACGTGCACACATCCCCTATCTATCTTTAAGTATGAAGTATGCAAAGAAAATTACACATACCGCAATTATATAGTTGACAAATTTTCAGCAATAGACCATGTCTATTTCACCTTCACACAAATCAGGCAACAGACCCTGGGTGGCAATCTCAGGGTCCTGGCTTTGAGGGCTTTGAAGCTCTCCACGGGTCCTTTCTAGTTTCTACTTCCTGTCCCCATGTGATATTTCTATTTCTTCCTACTCTGAGTCTTCTCAGTTGCCTCTGGATGGCCTGCTCTGTTTATAGACAGTTGACACCGCAGGCGCAGGCACGTCTGACAAGGAGCATGACTGTAGGCTACTGCTGTGTGGCGACAAACACAATCTGAAGAACATGACAAGAGAGTCACTAGAAGATCTAGAATTGGCAGGAATTCACGATCATTACCTAAAAGTTACTGACTTTCCATCTTCACCGGCCAGGAGAATTAAAATGTGAGGAAGTTGGGTTCATTTCCAAATTCCACAGGCGAAACTTCTCACTCACTTGTAAATGATCACCCAGCAACCTAAATTAACATCTTTGATGGCTGTAACATGCTATGGATAGAGCCAGTTCAGTCAAAGTTTCACTGAATATGCTTTCATGAAGTCTGCCTCGTGTTTTTGTTTTGTTCTGCCTCGCCCATTAGAATTTAGATCAAGAGCAACATTTTCCTCTACTCTGGGGGGTCTCCAGCTCTTCTACATAATGCGTGTATCCTGATAACAGTCTATACCCCATTCATAATTTTCTCCTGCATTTTACCAAAAATATCAGCAATTACTGTTCTCAACAAGTACAAATTAAATTAGAAACAGCTTATTATAGGGACAACTATACATCTTACAATTTTGTACTGCACCCATCTAATAACAATCATTATATTTTTCTCTAGTAAAGTCATTCTCAGTTCATGTGATACAATTAAGCATTATTTCTAGGTGTTTCTCCAAGAACTCTAACTTCCAGGTGTTTGTTATGATATGGCAGCAGAGCCAAAAAGCACAGCACGAGTCTGCTCTTAGAGGGCGAGTCACCAGTGCTGTGCCTTTGCTCTGCCCCTCCAGATCTGCCTCCTGCCCTTGCCCCTGGCATCTGCAGCAGTCCCCAGTGGACTGAATCTGAGGGGACCAACAGGAGGTATGTATAAGGCCGAAAGATCTGAGACAAGAGTTCCAGGTATCAGCCCTTTCACACCCTCCCCTCCTTACTCACATTCCCAGGCTCTGTCTTCCTCTGTGAAAGCCGCAACTATGGAATCACAGCTCTGGCTCTCCAGAAGCTACCACTGTGGCTGCCTCTGG